TTCTCAGTAGAGGCCGAGAAACATTTAAAGAAATGTTCAACATCCTTAGTCAGCAGGGAAATGCAAATCAAGACTACTTTGAGATTCCATCTTACACCTCTCAAATGGCTAAGATCAGTAGCATAAGTTGATAGCTCATGCTGCTAAGGGTATGGAATAAGGAGAAAACTCATCCACTGCTGGGGGAAATAGAAACTTGTATAGCTACTACAGAAATAAAGATAGGAATCCACCTACCTCAAGATCCAGGTATACCACTGTTGGGTGTATACCCAAAGGACTGCATCATACTACAGAGACACTTGCTCAACCATGTTCATTGCTGCTCTATTCATAATAGCCAGAAAGTAGAAACAACCTATATGTCCCTCAACAGAAGAATGGATAAGGGAAATGTGGTACATTTACACAATAGAATATTTATTTCTCAGCTTAAAAAATGACATCATGAAACTAAAGAACTGAAGTCAAGTGAGCTGCAGCCAAGATAGAAGTAACTGAGATGGAGACAACTTCAAATCTGTCCTGCTGGGATGAAAACTCTGGGTTCACCTATGAGCAGTTCCAGGAGCTAAAAAACCACTTTGAGACAGACTCCCACCCGAAAGAGGAGACTCTTGAGGCCTGGGCCGATGCACTCAAACTGACGAAAGGAGACATTAGATTTGGTTCTTTGAGAAAAATCATGAGATGAAGCTCAAGCAGTTAGTCAAAGGCCCACAGATCGAAGCTGAAGTCTATATACAAGTCAAAGAACCAAAGGTTGGGGTGGAAGTATGTGTCTAATTCTTACAGAAGAATTAGTTTAACAAACCTCTTGTACAAGAGTTGGGAAATGTACAGTTACCATTCAACACCAAGAGAGACCACCAGGCAGTACCCTGAGGAGTCTTCTCAAAATGACCCTAGACTCCCCAAAGCTTTGGAACCCTTGAAGAGTCTCACACTCTCTTCTGGGTACCAAAGCAGAGATGGCATGTCACAGGATTTCTGACTCCCTAACGTGGACTCTTTTTGTTAATGTTTTTTCAACTTCCTTGTTGGGGCAGGGGGCTGTTGGGTTTTATGTCTATCAATGGTACATTAATAAAGTTTGCATTCATAGAAAAAAATGACATCATGAAATTTGTAGGCAAATGGATAGAACTAGAAAAAAAGTTCATCCTGAGTGAGGTAACCCAGACCCAGAGAGACAAACATGGTATGTATTACGAACATGGTATGTATTGGCCTATATGTGGATAGTCTCCATTAAGCAAATGATAACCAAGATATAATCTGTAGACCCTGAGAGGTTATGTATAGAGGAAGGGACTGGGTTGTTGTTGTTAGGAATAAAATAGATTTTTATGGGTGGGCTAGGAGTGAGGGGGACATGAATGGGAGGATCAGGTGGGCAGGGAAGGGCATATAGGGAGAGACAGCTAGAGTAGAGGGACATTTGAGAGGTGGTATGGAAACCTAGCATAGCGGAAACTTACTAAAAACTATGAAGGTGATCCTAATAAAGTCTCCAAATAATGGGGAAGATGGAGTCCCAACTGGCCAGCTCTTGTCATCAAATGAAGCTTTCAGTGCTGGGTCTGGGTTACATCCCATTGAGTTGTTGGAATCTCCAAACAACCCAGGCTGTTGCCAAGACTATAGCTTGCTGTCCACAAACAGATAGCAAGGCCCCATTGCTGAAGACAACACCCACACAACTCATGGAACATGGAGAGGTTGAGCTGGTACCAACAGAGAACCTTCACCCTATGTTCTAGTGTCTCTGGGATGGGAAGGTATTCTGCAGGCCACCAAAAAAGAATTGTAAACAACAACCCAGCCACAAACCTTTTGCTCTACAATGCTGATCTGACTGCAAGATACGTTAGGGCAATGGTGACTCAGCTTGTGAAAGTATCCGGTTGTGGTTTGAATAGGAATGGCTCCCATAGGCTTCTGTGTTTGAATGCTTGGCTCATAGGGAGTGGCATTATTAGGAAGTGTGGCCTTCCTGGAATAGATGTGGCCTTGTTGGAAGAAGTGTGTCACTATGGGGGGCTGGCTTTGAGGTATCTTGTGCTCAAGTTATGCACAGTGTGGTACACAGTCTCCTGCTGCCTACAGATCAAGATGTAGAGTTCTTAGCTCCTTCTTTAGCATCATGCCTGCCTACACGCTACCATGCTTCCCACTATGATAATGGACAAAACCTCTCCAGCCCCAATGAAATGTTTTCCTTATAAGAGTTGCCACAGTCATGGTGTCTTTTGACAGCAATGAAACCCTAACTAAGACACCAACCTGTCTCATGTGACTTAAAGCCCACTTCAGGAGAGGGAACCCATACCTGACACTGCTTAGGTGATGAAGAACCAACCAGAGAATAGATACTGCAGAAACCTAGGGTAAAGTCAAGTAACAATAAAATGACTCCTAATAAAAATAACATTCTGCTGTACTCATAGATAGTGCCTTGCTCAGTTGTCATCAAAGAAACTTCCTCCTACTGCAGATAGGAACAACTATAGTGACCAATTGCCAGACACTAGACAGACAGACAGACAGACAGACAGAGACTTTGGAACACACAGGTCTATATGGAATGTTTCCATCAAATCCCTTCCCTCAGAGCTCAGGGAATCCCTCGAGAGTGGAGTCAGAAAGAGGCAGAGGGATGAAGGGCACCAGGAAAGCAAGGCCCTCTAAATCAACTGAACAAAGCTCACATGAACTCACAGTTTCTATGTGAAGCAGCGGCACAGGACTGACAGGTCTGCATCAGGTCCTCTGCAGAGATACTATAGCTTTCAGTTCAGTGTTTTTGAGGGATTTCTGATTTTTGTGCCTGCTCTTGAGGCTTTTTTCTTTCTATTGGGTGGCCTTGTCCAACTTCAGTGTGGTGGCTTTGTTTTACCTTATATTTTATTTTGTCAAGTTTTATTGTTATCTCTTAGAACCCTGTTGTTTTCTAGTCAGACACAGAAAGGGAGTGGATCCAGAGGGGAGGGGAGGAGGGGCGGAACTGAATGGAGTAGAGGGAGGGGAAACTGTAATCAGGACATATTGTAGGGGAACAGAATCTATTTTCAGTCAGCAAGGGTGTTATAATGGTGCTGAGGAAACGGCTCAGTCGGTAAAGCACTTGTCACTCAAGCAAGAGGACCTGAGTTTGAATCCCAGAATCCCTTTAAAGCTAGGCACAGTCTATAATTCCAGTGTTCCCACAGTTAGCTGAGAGGTGGAGGCAGCAGAATCTCCAAAAGCCCTTAGACCTCCCTCTAGCCTGGCATATCTAACAGAAACAACAGGAAATAGGGAGGGGATAGGGGATTTGTAGAGGGGAAACTGGGAAGGGGGTAACATTTGAAATGTCAGTAAAAAATGGGGGAAAAAAGAAATTGAAAAAAATAATAAAAGAAATTAGCTAGGAAACACTTAGCCAAGGATATACAAACCATCATACCATGATAAGCTGGTGTGGTAGCATGTGCCTGTAATTACAAGGTAAGAGGACTGTTGCAAGTTCAAGATCAGTGTGGCCTACAAATCAATTTCTAGGCAAGCCATGGTGATGTAGGGAAACAAAGTAAACAAAACCCTCAAAAGTGTCCCATCTCTGCCTCTGCTTGCAGCTTAAGATGTGAGTTCTCCAGCTGTTCTACCACCATGCCTCTACTCCACCACCACGGACTTCTCACTCTCTATACACAGGTCTATATGGAATGTCTCCATCGAATCCCTCCCCTCAGAGCTCAGGGAACCACAAGCCAATTGAATTCTTCATGGCATTTTACTCCAGCAATAGAAACATGACCAAGTTGCCCATCCCAATCTATAAATCAGGTTTGGTGGTTGTGAATACTAACTTAATGACAGTAATTTTTCTATTAGAATGCCACTACATTTTCAAGTTTTACTACCATGCCACCAAAGCACATTCAAAATCACCTGAAAGTGATTCAGAGACTGCTGCCTCTGCCCACTAATTAAAAATTAATTATTAACAAAAGCACACTTAAGATGTGGCCAACTGAATGTTCCCCATAGACAGCCAGATCCTGACAATTGGCCCCTGCGAGTGTGTTGTAAAAGGGACCTTGTGTCTCCCATCACGTGGAGGATTTGAGGTGACAGGATCAGCCTGGATCATGTGGAGGTCCCGGTGTGGACACAGAGGTACCCAGAGGAAGGCCTAAGATCAGAGGAAGGGAGATTCCTCACAGAAGCAGAGCACATGAGTCTTAGGAAGATGGATAGCTGTTTGAAGCTGGAAATGGCAAGAAACAAATTCTGCCACTAAGCCTCTACAGCACTGGTTCTCACTTCCCTCATGCTGTGACCCTCACGTTGTGGTGACCCCCCCAACCATAAAATTATTTTCATTGCTTCTTCTAAACCGTAATTTTGTTCCTGTTATGAATTTTAACGTTAATTTAGAGATTTGTCAAAGGGGTCACACAAAACCCATTGCCTGGTTGAGAACTGCTGCTTTTCTACAAGGAACCAGCTCTCTTGTTGTCCTGGTTTTAGACCTAAAATCATTTTGGATTCTGGCTTCCCAAAATTCAGTAGGGTAAACTGGGCTGTAGATGAGTCATGAAGACTGTGTTCACTTACAGCAGCAAGAGGAGACCCAGGGAAATGAATAGCAGCTATTTTGGCTCACTTGACATTATTTCAGGTTGCTTTTATGAGCAAAGCTTGTTTTACCTAGCAACAGTTATTAAGTAAGTTGACAACTTAATGCTAGACACTGGGAGGGAGAAACTACTTACCTCCTCCCAACCCAGTGCTCAATCTTGAAAGGCAGAGGCTGGTAGCACCATTCTTTAGACGTACAGCCACTGCCAAATCACGATGAATTATTTAGTCTTTGCCAGGCTCTAGTGGAATCTTGAAACCCTGCCCCCACTCCAGCTATCGCCAAGGCTTCTAGCTTCTCTTGAAACCACCATTTTTTTCTGATCGTGATATTTTTTTAATTTTAAGTAGTAAAAGCTATCAGAAATTTAACTATGATCAGAAATCCAGATTATACTAATTTTGTTTGCTGTGCCGTTTGCAATAAAATAATTCCACCAGCCCCTTTTGGGGAAACTTTCAAACGGATCCATGAATACAAGCCATTTAAGACACGATTCTACACTCACAAAGATATCTTGGGTAAGTGATTTACTCTTTGGCAGGGTGGTGGTAGTAGTGGTGGAATCCTTTAAGACTGGGTCTCTCTACATAGGTTTGGCTCTCCTGGAATACACTCTGTATACGAGGCTAGCCTCTAGCTCACAGAGATCCTCCTGCCTCTGTCTCTGGAGTGCTGGTGTTAAAGGTGTGTGTGCCTCCATGCTCAGCAGTAGTTTTATTCTTTTTTCTTTGTTCTAATGTAGAGTAGCATTGAGTGTTATTCTCCTCAGGTTTTCCCTGTTTGAGGCTGCTGGTCTCTATAGAAATTCCATCATGAAATGATAACAAATTGGAATTCAGATGCTCTACTTAACAGTTTTGTGAATGGGATAGAGTTTTCAGTCTCTCACTGTTTCTTGTTGTAAATAAGAACATTAATATGAATCTTTTAAATAGTTGTGAGCTTTAATGTAATATTGTACCTATTCAACACCTGGAACATCATAGTAAATGTGTTTTGTTTTCAACTATACTTGGGAACTTTCCATACATATAAGATAGAAAATATCTAAATACCTCAATTAATGAGTGGAAGAAACTTAGCCATTACTTTGTAGCTAGTGACAAAAGCAGATACATACAAATAAAATAGGAATATTTACAACACACATATATAGTATATATATATTAAAATTAATATTTCCATTTCTCATTTACACTTAAAAAATTTCAATCGAATCCTAGATTTTATGTATATTTTTAAAGGACTCCTTAAATATTTTTCCTGTTTTCTTCCCCATGTATGTGGTAAACTCATAGTTACTTGGTTTCATGCCTCATTTACTAAAAGAGAAGTTACAAATCTGAACTAAGTGACAAGGGTGATAGAATTATAGTCATCCTCCAAGACATCAGTTCCAACTGATTTAAACTTTTAGTAAATTTTTAGTATGGATTATTAACTGTAATCTTTAAAATTTTAGACCCAAGACAATGCTATCCACATTCTTTGATATACTTTAATGATTCCTTATACTTTATAGGATATATGAACAGACAAATGCATGTAGAAGTCAGTATTTTGTATTTGTTTGCCTGTATTTGTCATTAAATTATAAGTCAAAAGTGAAAAGTCTGCCTTCTTTATAAATAAAAGCACATTGAAGTATCTATACAAGAGAATTTCACAGGACAGTGATTCTCTAGTGGCTGTTACAACCTCCAGGATCAGGCTCTACCATGTACATTTTTTTTCTTACACCTTTAAAACACTCTTTGTTTTGAAATACTTTGATTCATAGGTTTTAAAAAGGAATCAAAAAGTTCCCATGGGCCCCAACTTTTCAAACCAATTCTTATAATCTTGGTACATTGTCAAAAATGGGGAGTTTGCACAAGAACAACTCTTAAGTCTGGCACATGACTTACAAATCTCTTTCCCCTTAGAAGTGAAGGTAAGGCTTCTCTGCAGTTAAGGCTGAGAACAACAAATATGATGATATTTAAACATTAAAACGGATAACAGCACCCTACATTTTTATTACATTTTTATGAATGTAATGGAATGTATTACATGTATATTTATGTAAAATCAACACAAAGAAACTTCTTCGTGTTATCCATTAATAATCAGTGGTACTTTTCAAAATTCTGGCAGCCATTCACCAATTTCACATAATGTCTTCATAATGTTATTGCCATGAGAATGCCATAGAACAAAAGCATATCATATGTGGCCTTTGACACTGGCTCTTTTCATCTGCAAAGTGGTTTTTAGACTCATTGCAGCTGTTTTATTAATAATGTCTCCTCTTTCAGCACATATGCCTTTTTAAAAATGTTCTATAGATAACTTCTGCAGTTAAGGCTGAGAACAACAGATAGGATGATATTTAAACATTAAAAAAGGATAGCAGCACCCTACATTTGCATTGTATTCTTACGAATGTAGTGGATGTATACAGGGTTGAGATTTTATAATATAACCTGCATCCATCTATATAACAGTGTTTACTGCTTTATGTTTTAAGACTCACTCATGTGGCAGGGGGCACTGGAGAGGTGTCAGCAGCTAAGAGCACTTGCTGCTCTTGCACAGGACTTGCCTTTGGTTTCCAGTGCCCACATCAACTGTTTGTTAACTACAGCTCCAGGGAATCTCTGGGCTCTGAGGGAGCCTGATAATACATACAGACACACCTACACATGATTTAAAATAATAAAGCTAAATCCTGTAAAAATAATAACTTTTAAAATACTCAGCGATCTAGTGGTAGCGTTTGATTCCACAGAATATATCTTTCAGCTGTAGGTGATGGAAGCAACTTAGATCAAAACACGTAGAGTGGAATTTTGTGATGGGATTTCTTGATCCTTTTAACAAGAACTCAAGGTGGAATGTGTCATCAAGATTTCAGTCTAACATGCACACACTCAGTCAATTGGCTGGGCTGATACTGCAGTCAGGCCTATTTCAGCATTTAGAAAACTATATGAATACAAACGATTATAACATCTCTTAACCCCAGTTTAGAAATCCCAGAAGGAAAGAAGCTATTTTTTCTTTATGTCTTCTGTGCAAAAAATTAGGGAAGAGTGTAGCTTGAATATGTGCCAGATTCCAGACTAGTTTATAGAAGGAAGGAAGGAAGGAAGGAAGATGCTATTAGCAATCTTACCATGACAGCCAAGTGAGGGAGTTGTTAGGAGAAGAAGTAAGGCCTGTTGCCACAGCAGGATATGTTGAGCAAACACATGTATCCACAGCATCTTACTGTAAGGATTTTCATAGTAGGTCCTATAACAATTTAAAGACCATCTCAGGTGAGAACATGTGCCAACCTTGAGACCAGGCCAAAGCGCTCAGTTCTTAGCTCCAGGTCCAGAATTGTCCCCGCCTATTTGATTTTGGGTGTCTCACTATCTCCCCTAGAGTCACATATTGAATGAAGATGGTAATTTGGAATGTTATAATATGGAAGTCAAATTAGATCACTAACAGAGAAATAATAAACTAGAAACCTAACGCACTCCACAGCTGACAGAGTTAAAAAGACCAGCACACTAGTGAAAGGCGTATACGTGATGCATTAAAGAAAGCACCCTGAGAGAACAGGGAGAGACGAGGTGAGTAAGGCTCCAAAGTCTTGTGAATCTGTGTTTGAGTGTGCCACAGTTTGCAGGGCATTTGCCTTTCATCGCCTGCTGTTTGGACTGGGTGTAAAGAAAGCCAGTGGCCGTTATTCAGGCCTATGTGGTGAGTTCCATCTTAATCAGCTAGTGGAAGGCTTCCCCTTCCGATCAGTATCTTTAAAGACGAGATTGCAGGTGGGGTGGTGCTGGTGGTACAGGAAAGGTGAGTGCTTAGCATAGTGGGTCCAATTCTTAGTGCCAAAAATAATGTAAATGATTGACACCACCTAAAAAGATGTGTTGTATAGACAGCTTGCATAAATAATTTTGCTAGTGACAGAAAAGCAAGCCACAGAACAGTCTACAAGGGCCTGTAATAATTTCTCTCCAAATATGCAGATATTGGGGCAAGTATTCTGAACCAAGAAGAACAGTTTCAAGAGGCCGTGCTCAAAGAAAACATTAAAAAAGCAGAAGCTAAAGTGTGGGAAAAGGTAAAGGGGCTCAGAGATGAACACAAGCCATGTCTTCTCATACTGCCGTTATCTAAACCTGTAAATTCAGAATAGCAGGCAAGAGATAGACCACAGCATCCTGACAAACTGGAGTCTTGGGCATGTTCTTTGCCCTCTGGATTCATGGCTTCTTCATCTGTAGGAGGGAATGTTAATAATTCCCTTCCCAAAGCATTGCTGAGAGATTCAGTTCAAGGAATGCACTTGACACGAGGTGAGGCTTAGTAAGAAGCAGGTCCTGTCAAGAACCTCCTTCCTTGCTTTTATATTCATTAGGGACTATCAATATGTGCACTGTGTAATAAATTCTGAACTAAATGCCCATTTCCCCAAATGCCTTATCTTCACTGACTTTCCTTATTAACTGTCTTTAAAGTCTTTGGGGCTTCTAGTCACCATGGTGCATTCCTACAGTCCCAGCTATACATGAGGCTGGGGCAGGGAGAGAGGCTGGAGCAGGGGGAGGCTGGGGCAGGAGGAGGCTGGGGCAGGGGTGGGTGGGCTGGGACAGGGGGAAGTTGGGGCAGAGGAGGCTGGGGCAGGAGGAGGCTGGAGCAGGACAAAGTTAGCAAGACCAAGACTAACTTGAGCAATCTAAGAAGGGACCCATGTGAAAGAAACCAGCAAATAAAACAAAAGCCCAAATCCTGGATACATGACTGCTGAGAGCCAGGGGCTGTTTGAAGATTGGAGGATGTAACTACTGCTTTACTCATAGTAGCAGCTGACTGAAGCCTCGAACCCATAGCCCTTAGTTTTCCCAATCACAGATGGATTGACATAAATGACCGTCCAAAGAGAGTGAAACCTCTTTTGGATGAGATAAAGCATGATTCCTTAGACTCTAGTAGTAATAAAAATCTGACAGTAAGAGCCACCAATTACTTAAATATCCCAATATATTCTTTAATCATATACCATTTGAATATAAGCTGACTCTGGGCCTGAGTATTTTCTTTAAATAATCTAATATAAATTCTTTTCTGAACGCCAGATGAGGGGACCTCAGGAGTACTCATGCTCCCTGCTTAGCTCCTTTCAGCTTTATATGTCTATTCCCTTCTCTGTTTTCTAGATTAATATACTAAGCTGCATATATATGCATATGCATGTACATATATATCATAGTTTCCCTCCCTCTAATAATTCCTGAAGCAGCAAAGGTAGCCCAGGGCTCAGGGTGTTATGTGCACCTGGCTAAGGCAGCTACTGTGGGAAGTGGAGATAGAAACAGTGCAATTAGGGACTCCGTGATGGGTGCTAACTTCCATTAAGCAGGAACACTTAACTTACCGACTCCTTCAATAGTGGCCAGCTTCTTCCTCTGTGCTTACCCTGAAATATTAATAGACACATGAACCTTTTCTTTCTAAGGCTGAAGTGCTCCGAAAACAAGCAGTGGATCAAGCACTTGAAGATGCAGATGCCAAGCACAAATTTGAAATTCGTATTCTGGAAGAACAACATCAAAGAGACTTAAAGGTTCTCTCTATAAGGACTTGTCCATTGTCTTTTAAAAAAACATTTACGTTAGTAAAGAGAAAGTGCTTCTGTTAGTTGACACAGAAAGAATGGGCAGGGCAGTCATTAGTAAAGTCCAGATGAGTGTGTCATAAAAGTTGAGAGGGAAACTCGGATGTAACCTCTGTAATAGCACTTTCATAACACGCATCACCATTGGAACTAAATAGCTGTGTATATGATTGGCTGTTTAGTGCCCAGTTCATTGACATGACCACAGTCTCCTTCACAGGACAGGGGCAGTCTGTCCTGTCAATATGCTAGCCCTGTCCAGTACAAGCCTTGTCCTTGACAAGGTAGGGACTCAAAACATTGAATCGATAGATCAACCTGTCCTCTTCCTTCTGGGCTTTTGGTTCTATAATTTTTCCTAAATTTGCTTTTTTTTTTTGCACTGCCAAGAGGAACATTTGTTTTTTTGTTTGTTTGTTTGTTTTGTTTTTCGGTTTTTTTTTGGGTTTTTTTTGAGCCAAATTTGAAGCAAGTTTTAAATAAATACTGGCCAGGATGATGGACTCTGGCCAGGTGCATTCCTGGATTCTTAGGAAATGTTGACATGTCACATTTTTGCAGAGGCTTCAAAAGGCAGCCCACAAGGATACTTATTTACCACCAGGTCCAACCAGGAGCAAGCATACATCCTAATGTATTTCCTGCCTACATAAAGAGGAACATCTTAGCTGTCTCTGAAGTATTCTAGCAGGACAAGTGGTCATGAGATACAAGAAACTTTTTTTTGTTTTGTTTTTTAATTTTCACTGTTATATGTATTCATTGTGCACAACAATGTGCTACATAGTAACATTTCAACATACATATGTATATACATTGTATCTATAAGTATGTATCTTATGTTGAGAATGTTACCTTCATACCCTCTCTTCTCACTCTCACCTCTCCCAGTAGTTTTCTTTGTTTCTGTGAACAGTTTTCTTTTACTTTCATATCATATATATATACATGATTTTATGTATCAACATAACATCTAGGCATGACAGGAAGCATGATATTCCTTTCCGAGACTGTGTTAATTCATAATTACCTCTAGTTGCACCAATTTCCCTGAAATCAACAACAAAATCCGTTGTGTATAGATACACATTTCCCTTATCCATTCCTCTGTGATTAGATACTGAGGCTGGCTAAGAGGAACTTTGTAACTTGCAAACTGGTCAACATTGCAAGCAGAGAGATTCACTGCTTAATTCAATATCTCTGTCACAAAACCTGTTCAAAGGACCAGAGTACAGAACGATCTTCACATTTGTACAGAACTATCTTCAAGGAGGACTAGGCAGAGCAGGAGAGCATCAGAAGTTCCAATAATATGATGGATCAGAAGCTTAGAAAACTACAGGCCTATGAATGAGACATTCATGTTTCAACAAGGAGCACCTAGCGTATACTAATTTTGTGCCAAATAAGGTTAAATGAACTGTCCTTGTCCTAGGACCAACACGGGAAGAGAGCTCTGCTCCACAGTTCCTGTCAGAGAGCAGGATGATCCCTGCTCGGCCCCAGCAGCCCCTTTCAGCCACGTTTGGCATGGTTGCTGATTGAAGTGATTCAATGCTGTGAGCTTACTCCCCAGCCTCAGTACAAATGGGAAACTATAAATCAACGTGTCCATAGAGAAAACAAGCCAAGAACTTGAGAGCATGAAGCAAATATTAGCACATTCTATTATACTCTTTTTCTGAAATAGGCTGTGTTAAAGACATTTAGAAATATTAGCTTTCAACATGTTTTATTATTGAAAATTAGAGACTTAAGAGACAAAGTCTTTTGCAATGAAAACGCAGGTAACATTTCTAAACAACCAATATTTTTTTTATGTAACTGTTTTCAAAATTTATTTACCGCTTGAAGCCATTCTGTAAATATTCTTTTTTTTTTTAATTGGATGTTTTATTTACATTTCATATGTTGTCCCCTTACCCCATCCCCCACCCACCCAGGAACCCCCAATCCCCTCACACCTCCTCCTTCTTCTTTGTGGATGTAACCTCTATCTACCCCCCCACTCCCACCTCCCCACCCTCAAAACTCCCACCCCCTGGGGCGTCCAGCCTTCATGAGGTCAAGGATCTCATCTTCCATCTGTGCCCAGCAGGGCCCTCCACTCTTATATATTCAGCTAAGGCCCTGGATCCCTCCATAAGTGCTCCCAGGCTGGTGGTTTAGACCCTGGGAGCTGTGGTTGGTTGGTATTGTTGCTCTCCTCATGGGGCCACAAATCCTTTCAGCTCCTTCAGTCTTCACTCTAACTCCTCCATTGAGAACCCCATGATCACTTCAATGGCTAGTTGTGAGCATCTGCCTCTGAATATGTCAGACTCTTGAAGACCTCTGAGGAGACATCCATATCAGGCTCTTATCAGCATGCACTTCCTGACTTCCACATCAGCATCTACCTTTGGTGACTGCACATGGGATGGATACTCAGGTGGAAAGGTCTTCAGACGGCCCCTCCTTCAGTTTTTGTCCCTCGCTTTGTCTCCATATTTGCTCCCTTGAGTATTTTGTTGCTCCTTCTAAGAAGGACCGAATCACCCCCACTTGGTCTTCATTCTTCATGGACTTCATGTGGCCTGTGAGTTGCATCTTGGGCATTTTAAGGTTCTGGGCTAATATCCAATAATCAGTGAGTGAATACCATGTGTGTTCTTTTGTGATTGGCTTACCTCACTCAGTATGATAATTTCTAGTTCCACCCATTTACCTAGGAACCTCTCAAATTCATTGTTTTTAATAGCTGAGTAATACTCCATTGTGTAAATATACCACATTTTTTTAATCCATTCCTCAGTTGAAGGACATCTGGGTTCTTTCCAGCTCCTGGCTATTATAAATAAGGCTGCTATGAACATAGTTGAGCATATGTCCTTATTATATGTTCGAGCACCTTCTGGGTATATGCCTAGGAGTGGTATAGCTGGATCCTCAGGTAATGCTATGTCCAATTTTCTGAGGAACCGCCACACTGATTTCCAAAGTGGTTGCACCATCTTGCAGTCCCACCAACAATGGA